CACCAAAATCGCTCACACTTTCTGCTCCCAAAAAACGTCTCTACCTAAATCTACAATTTAATGGAGACTCATCGGCAGAAATATTGAGACATCGCCTGTCCCGCTCACTGAAGAAAACTTTCTTCGCGGCTGAATCCCGACTTACCTTCTCTACGAAACCAATGATTCGCATGAAGGATAAGCTACCATTGTTGGTTTCATCAATGTGTATCTACCAATTCACCTGCTCGTGTGGAACTAGGTATGCTGGCCGTACCTAATGTTCGCTATCCAAACGTATCATTGAAAAAAAGGTCCTCCCCCCCCCTCGAAGATCTATTCTAGAACACCTGACCGAATCAGGATACGAAGCAAACCCGCAAAACAACTTCAAAGTTATCTGCAGAATACATGCGAATCCTGCTAAAAGAGTACAAATCAAACTAATTTTATGTTATCGAAAAGCACAGGAGATGTCTGATTGAGCTTTGTCACACACTCTAAGTTAGAAGGTATGATATATAGTGGAGATATCTGGGTACAGAGAACATTACTACAAACAACGGAAAATAGCAGAAAAAGTCAAAAAGTACAATTTTGTATCTACCTTTTACAACTCTTATCCAGGAGAGTGACGAGGTGGTATAACTGGCTTGCTAGTAGTTTGAATGTAACACTTTCACTGTTGTCCCATCACTATCCACCAGCAGAGTAACTTTATTTTATGGTTTCTCCCATGGTTTGAGTAACTTAAATTATAGTCGCAACTTCTGACTCCAGTTGTTGCCTAAATGATCCTTACGACAAAGTAGGACATCTGGGAATAATTTTACTATCCAATACGGATCGTTGAACCCTTGCTCTACGCGGGTGTGATCACGTTGATGTCGGATATATCAGTGAGAAAACAATCTCCATACAGAAACAAAAATTTTTCTATACGAGGTTAAAAACAGTAATGGAGAAACAAACACCTTGTTTCATAAAAAAATGCATAAAAAGTTGTGAACATACCTATTGACTGAAACTGTCTTCATCCACAAATTCATGGGCTGAATCATCATCTTTAGTACTCGGTATTTGTGTATAAGACTCTTCACTAGAAGATTCCTCGTACTTATGCGCTTTGCGTTTTGCTCTAGTTGGATTACGCCGTTTAGGAACGCACTTTTTAACATCTACAGGTATTTTAGGTAACAAATGTGCTTTATCAGCAGCACCTAAACGTATCCATCCTTCACTTGCATATGCTTTTTGCGAGATATCAAAATCAGCAGACGACTGAGTTAATGCCTCTTTTTTATATGAAATAGTACTTATATCATTAGTGTGTATGGTTGCAGCCTTGTTTTTCTTGCTTTTTTCAAATTTTTCAACAGTGGCTCGTTCACTATGCAAGGGAGCCAAAGCGAATTGCGCTTTAACTCGATGCCATATGAAAATTCCACGAACTAAACGTTTCCAGTTTTCTAGTGCACGTTCTGTACGTTCTTCGTTCGCTGCTTTGGCTGCATTCATTTGCTCTGCACGCCATGCATCAATTAAAACTGGCACAGATTCTTTACAAACAACATAACCTTCCGTTTTTGGATGAGCCCAACCGCCTGCATGAAATGACCAACCGACAATGGCTTCTGCACAATCAATGCCAAGTTTTTTAGCGACATGCTGAATGCCTTCATATAAAAATATAAAAAGAAACAAATTTCCACACAGAGAAAATATTTTGAAAGGAATGTGCTAATAGATACATACATTAATTTTCCATTAGATAAACAACTCGATATTAAGTTCAAATTGCTCACCTTAAGTGTTAATCAAAATTACACTAAACCGATCAAGCTGATAAACACCAAAAATTAACTAAAGAATTCAAATTGTACTTCTGAGTTTTGTATTATTTCTATTAGTAACTGATTGAATCCGAAGGAAAATGGAACCCAATCAAGTTAAGACACAGAATTAGATAATGATAAAATATAAGTCCAAATCTACATGAAACCAAATTAATTAGTAAAGTTACTATGAGATGGATTAAGTAGTAATTGAGAGGTTACATAAAACTGTTACTTGATGACAAATATATATGACCGAACTTGGACCTATACACGAACCTACCACAGTTCATTTATTATCCCGTATTACATTCTCCATGATTCCATTGAAAAAAAACAATGTAATATAAATCTCCAACATATTAATCGTTAGTCATTTCGGTGACCTAGAGGCATTAAAATGGCGTGAACTGCATTTATCTTCTACTGCACACTAATTTCTAATTATCATTATTTTGTCTTCATATTTTTATTCTTAGGAATTCTCAACTCATACACGCTGACTGACTAAAAGTTTTTGCAACGATTGTGAAGCGAAAAGTGTTAGAAATAATATCACCGATATTACCCATCAACTACTTTGTCTCATTAGGAGAATGAGTTGCACTGAAGACGTTGCCTAGCAATTAAATCCACCAGCACTGATAACACAACCAAATCACAAATGATTTCCCAGAAGAACAGAACTCCAATGAATTCTCAGGAGAAAAGGTTAAAACGTTGGATAGAACATTTGATGATCAGTCCAAGCGGCCTACTGAAACACTTCAGCTACTCACCACCCAAACCCTACCTAAACAAGATGTTGCAATTTATCTGCCAACTGCAGCTGCGGTTGTGAGTGCTGTCTTTTAACCCATTAAGCAGCGAAACACAGGACCTGATAGGATGTGATGAATTATTGACTAGATTGACTAAGGGATATGGAATGCCGAAATATTCCTACTGGGCTAATGTAGGTTGCTGACTACTCCGATTTAAAAGAAACATGAGAGAAATTTCTCAGTGACAATCACAGTGATACCAGCTTGACATCTACCTATTGTGTTGTCAAAATTCATAAAGGGAACTAATTGCTTTAAACCTGATAAAACCAACGGAGCCCTAGGACAATTGTGGGTTCATGACTCCACTCTTCAGAAGGTTCTGGATCATAGGCACATATACCTGCGCTCAACATTTACCATATCTCATGACTTTAGGGAGGTGTTTGATTCCCTTGATTCACAGGTATTGTGACAATGCCTACACAAACTCACGCAGCCATGTAAGAACTTTTGACGAGTTTTCATTTTCATGTGTGCCTTAACGAAGTGTGACAACTTGAACTGCTGCATTTTTGTGCTAAGTTCTAAGGTGATTATTCAGTTTAGTGTTAACCCATGGGATTTGCCAATCTCACTCCAATTGTGATTCACATGGTTACTAGATCTAGAGAAACAACGTACGAACTTTGAGCACCAGTAATAATAAGAATGCGGCTCCTAATATTGTTCAGTTGCTTAACCAAATGAACTATGAGTATGAGGCTGCACGAGAAATAATAACTTTAACGTCAGCATTAAGATAGTGTGTAGGAAACTCACATGTTATGAAGTGAAGACTTTAAAGTAATTACCTAATCTAACAACTAACGAGACTTAAAATCATGCAGTTTGATATCATAGGAATTAGATGCTCGCACTGTGATCTTTAGTCCTTGATACATAGAAAGTAGGAAGTTTTGCCTCCGACTCTAGAAAATCACAACACTGATGTGTGCTAACTGCAAGCGATTTGCATGCTACATTTCGGTAGATTATTTAAAATAATTTTTCATCTTTCATTATAGTGATACTGTCTATTTAAGCACGAATAAGCGAAGCAGCGTGTGAACTTTGATACAGGTTCAAAGTTAACTTTTTTGACCAATGGTATCATAGCCTTATTCGAACTTAACTTCCCTGAATAGGTTCTTCATGTACCAGGCTATAAAGCTACGATGTGACAGCTGATGATATCATCCATTTGTGCAGACTGAAGTGGGTGGGGCACGATTCGAAACTGAAACCTGATTTTTAAACTCGGTCCTCAGAACAGGCATTTCATGTTCCAGGCAATAAGTCAAACTTTTTATTGTGTGAGGGTTGGTGATACTGCTCAGTTGCCCAGGCAGGGGTAGGTAGAATGGGATTCGAACCCGAGACCCACTGAGTGGAAACTGGACACTTAAGCTAGTGAGCCAGGTCGCCACCCGATAGTCCAAGACAATGAACCACATTAGCGGTCTTACTATTCATCAAATAATAGGTGCCTGTATGTGTTTATTCAATATCTTTAGTATTAGCGTGATTCCTATGGTGCGTGCAGTAAGTGATAGATACCAAGAGGCACTACTTAGTTCGACCTTCAATAATAATAATAATAATAATAACTGGTGTCAGATGACAGTCGTTATATGAAGTCAAATAAATGACAGTAATAGATTACAAAATCGACATGTCCACAAAAAGACTTTTCTTTTGCTTAATGCATTATCTCAGTAATCTCTATACTAATAAAATATACCCAAAGTATGTTGAAATGTATTGTTCTCTCTTCATTTATCTTCTTTGTCTACACATTTTCTATTAGAATAACTGTTTTATTTGATCCGCATCTTAAATTTCATTGTTCAGAGCCGAAAATATCATTACAGTTACATGTATACAGAAATACTGCTTGACAAGTGAATACACGGTATGAGATGTACTATACAGACGTTACTTTTTCAAAACACAAGAACTTTTCTTATAGACGTATTTATTAGATGGGCTAGTTGTTTCTAAAGTATTGAAATTTGGTACAAATGATAGTCAGACTGAACAGGCTTTTTCCTTTGAGAGAAACACAGAGCACTCAAATATCTTGAGGTTATATTCTCATCTGTCTCACACCATGCGCATCTTACCTACTGTCTACGTCCTTTGAAACAATCCAACCTAATTTCCCCTCTGATATCTTGCAAATGAATCTTTTTGCCGACCCCACCAACGACCTGGTACGGCTGACAGTGGGTAGACTTCGGTCTTTCTCTCGAAATCCTCTCATGTGGCCACGCGTTCATAGCCTCCCTCAGTCAGGCCAGGTAAGTCCTATTCACTGCATTCACGCGGTGGGGTCTTCCTCACAAAAGTGAAAGGGCGAATTCCAATGTCTGGTGCTTACAACCGGACTGGTTTGACATTCTGGCCTACTGTGGGCGGACGGAAAACTCCGATTTCAAACCTACGGTGTACATACGCTCCAGAATCCGAAAGGATAGAATGGCGTATGAACCTGTTTTGGTCACCGAAATCTATAGGAATCTAGAGCTGCTGAAGCTGCTTCACTACCTTGTCGATCAAACTTCATGTCAAAGGCACGTGGAGCGGCCCCTTAAGACAACCATCTACATCGATTTGGGCGTCCGGGAAGCATCTCCACTCTCGCAGAGACTATATGATTTTGTGTGGAACGTCTCTTGAGAACCATTATGTACCAAGTTAGTGTTTTGATAATAGTGGATTTCTTAGTTAAAATATTCAAAAATGCTTCACACGATCAATAGACGTATCTAGTACACCACAACTAAACATATTAAATCACGAGTTGAAAATTAGACGTTATCACACTTACCCGATAAGCATATATGTACACAGCCTACTGGCAACATACATTGTTTAAATAACTCTACATTTCCGTGGGCATTACGTGGGACGATACCGTTTTCAGCTACCGGTGGTACATATGGTTCAACTTGCCATGGACCAAAAACTTCAGTAGTTGGTGGTGTAGAATCAGAACCCTGTAATAATTTACGTTTCATTGATAATCGAGCTTTAACAATTTTTGCTGGCTTTTCATGCTCACGAACTACCTAAGAATAAAGAAATGAGAGAATAAATATGCTTTATTATAGTTTACTTTTGCAGGTAGCAGTTCAGTATACTTTACAGTAAAGTTTATCCGTCTATGAGTAGATTATTGATTTAAGCAGCCACAGATACATGAGCCAGAATCTGAGATTTTGATTGTATACTGTCAGTGACAAGATGAAAACGTAGCTACATTAACATGACTAACTGGTTGCAAACTCCACGTATATTTCTCATACTTCATCCTGAAAAACCTGGTAGTATTACAAACACGGATTTATCAAAGAGATGAACGTCTGTGACGTAGAAAACCCGTACTAAATAAATGTATTTCATTGTGATTATTATTATTATTACTATTTATCACTGGCTACCTCACATTATGTGATATATCTACTACTACATGACCCTGTACTTGGATTCTGTTTTTAAAAGATGTGATATGGGGCATAAAGCTGCACACGTGTATAGATTGAAACAAGCTATCCATTATGATTGCCTGAATAACAATTATAAACTATAATACTAAAAGAGAAGAGGTTCCAGATATTGAGGAAAAAATATATCACAAACAAACTGTGTTCGAACCCCAGTGGTTGCGTGCCACTGAAGAGTACCAAACTTGGGCGAAGCAGCTGTCCAGTACTCCAAGGTTTTCCACTGGTTCCCTGACCGATGTCAGCTCATGATAAAATCCTGTAATCAAATCCCTACAAACCACTACCTAAATATCCTATAGGCCTACTTCTGGATAAAGAATATCTCGAAACGCACTAGTAACTCTTAATGAGGACGAATCGAGGACATTTTTTGAAATTGTGCTCTTTAGGGACAGCAAGGTATTTTCACTAAAGATGAAACACGCTCGATTATCTTGAGATGTTTCTTGGTGCAACTTGAATACTGCTACAAGCTAAAGGGAACCCTATAGTTATTCTATTGTACGACTTCATTATTACTAATATCTTATTTTCCTCTTTTGTTTGTTTCTGTTCACATATACCAATTGATGCTAGTTTTCTCAGTAGTGTAAGGCAATTTTTTAAGGATGCACGAATCTACTCTTCGAATAATCAACAAGCGGTCAATTTCAATAGTTCTTTCACAAGTGAAATGACAGGGAATACCCATGACCCATGGCATAAATAGTAAATCTTTCCAAAATTAGATTGTTTAGGTCAGAACTTCCAAGGATGTTACAATTTTTACTTCCACTGCAAGTTATACATAGGTAACTAAAACGTGATTGGAGGCCCTGTGCCTTAACTTTTTTTTTTCCTTCACGTTCCCAGTGGAACATAGGGCTTCAAGCTAATGGCTTGAAGTTTCTGTAGCAGCGTTTAATTTTTACAGGATGGGGTTGCTAGCCTCATGCCCAACCTTTCCTCTTTATCAGCACTATGTATGGCTCAACGAGGTAAAGGAGTGCGTCGGCCGGGGATCGAACCCTGTGCATGGTAGGCGAGCGTCCTAACCGCTATGCCTTAACTAATTCCAACTTAATAATCTGTTAGATTTCCATAGAAGAGAAACAATTAGAAATATGAACTTACCATTGCTTCTTTCAGCCATGACTCTCTAGTATGACAGAGGTGAACACAATCACGAGAATAAACTGGTTCATTGTTAAAGAATCCCAAAGGGATTGCATCAGTCGGATAAATAACTTGAAATTTGAGTAAATGACGTTGGAGAACATATAGTGGGTGATTTTTAAAGTCCTGTATACGCTTTGGCAGAGGTTGGGATAAAAGTTTAGCATTTATTGAATCTTTATCCATTCTATCTCGTTGAGCAGTGGAGAGTGTATCTGACCTCACTACTAATGCATCGTGTTCAACAGCATCATGGTCGAAAAATCGGCTTTGCATATTCAGCAAACTATCCCATTTCTCTGCAGATATACGATGACTGCGAGCAGAGACACACCAATCTTGAACATAACGTGGAGACAAATCAACAGGATTCCTACCGACGTAAGATACCAAATTGGGATCTGCTGACTTTACAGAGCAAGCACCGATAACATACAAAAAGCCATGTTTAAAATTTATTTTATCCACAACACCTGGCAGAGACGACGGATCAATACACACCCAACGATCTAGCTTCGGTAGAAATACTTCAGCAAATAAAGAAATACCAGGCTTTAAGTTATCAGCAGGTGAGTCACTATTCACATCTGCGTCAAATATGTCATCTTCATCCGAAGAGATGATTTTGCGATTGGACTTCTTTTGTTTAATTGGTTTAACTTCTTTAGTTGCAGTAGCAGGACTAATGGTAGTGGCTTCATTGGGTAATAAAGGCAGTGGAGACAGACCAAGAATCACCCGTACATCGAGTCCAAGTGAACGAAGAGCTGCAACAAGAAGTATGAGACAATCCCCTGCAGTTGCCGTATACTCTGACAGACGATGAACAAGCTGATACTCATAATTACCAGGTGAATTTCCTTCATTAAGTAGTTGCACTCCCTGATGAGATAAAAATGTAACAACACACGCTTCTAAATGCTCCACTGACCACAGAGATAACTGAATGAATTGTTTCGTCTTTTGATTGTACACTGAATTAGTCTTAGCCAGAAGTGAAAGACCCAACGCCTGACATAAACAGCTGTCACAAGCCTGATTCACCACACGACTATGGGCAAGAAAACATAGTACATGAACTAAATGCTTTAATGCGTAGTGTTCTTTTATTTTGCGTCTTAATGCAAGTGCTTCAAGAAGTTTTGGATCTTGTTTAGAATGCTTTTTGGAAGCACTTGCAAGAGGAACAGCTATAGTTAGTGGTGTAGAATTTATCTCTTCAAGTTCTTTAGATACAGTATTTGTATTGCAACTTAGCAATTTATTCATGAACTCTACCTCGGTGGTCGCTTCATCATTCACTTCAACCCAGTCGATTTCATCATCTGAATCGCTTTCTAAGTTGCAATGAGGATCTTCAGGTACATTAGCTTTCTTCAGTGATTTTGTTGTTCTTTTCTGTCTATGTTTAGGTTTGAACTCCGAAAACAGGAGCAAGTTAGCTGTTTTCTTTTTTTTGGGCAACTTATCATCACTTAGAGAATCAGATTCAAAATCATCCGAACTACCAAAGTTACTTTTCACTTCTAAATGGTTATCTGTCAACGAACTGTCACCATTTTCAGAAATGACATCCTCTGCAATGTGCGACCTACCCTTCAGAAGACTTGACTCTCTCGCTGTCGTTCTGCGATTGGATCGCCTACTACACTTTCGTGACTGTTTCTGTAGATGAGAAGGAGCTTGTTGACTACCACAGTCAGTTTGTATATCTAGGTTCCACTTATCTTGTTTCTTAGATGACGTTTTGCATCCAGAAACTTTTGGAACGTCACAAGCTGGACGGGAAATCCGAGTAGAACGCCTTGTACAATTTGAAGAGATGACAACGTTTCCTCGATTCATTTTTAATCACATGACCTAGAAGACTATTTGAATTAATAGAAAAAACAGTCGGAAATAAGTTAAACAGATTTTTAGGAAGATAGCAGGTATTTAGAATAAACAAACTGGTACTGACTACAACCCTATTATCAGCAATTAATTGTTATACACCGTTCATTAGTTAACAAAATTAGGACAATCTACATAGACAAAATGAACGCAACAGTGAAATCTATAAATCACGAGCATTTCTGTGTACTATACATTGGACTACACCGAATTTCCAATAACTGGAGATACTAATTGATTTTCGAAATCTCATTAGGCAGTATTCCAACCATCAGCTGAACTACTTAAACACTAACTTAGCACCACTCAGGAACCATCCGCACTTATGTGTACTTGAGAACTACACTATTCATCATGTAGTTTTTTTTCTGATGATATTTTTTCGAAGAAAATATGACAGTATATAGACTTCAAGAGATGGTTTCACAAATTACGACACAACGCAAAAACCTGGTCCTTTTAAGCACTTTACTGGTAATTGTTAAACACATTTACTCCCTTTTAACGTCGCCGACTAGTCATGCTAAATATGGTTTCCCTCAACACATCTACCCTCTTTATCAGCAGGTTCTAACAAAAATCCTATAATCCCTGCCATTTTTGATCTATGCTGACAATACCCCGTTGGAATGAGCTTACATGCATCGATTGGTAATGAATAAACCGCAAAACTGACTGGTTAACTATAATTTTTTCGATGGAGCTGCTAAACACTGGTTATTGACAACGCACCACCGTATATAAAAAGCGTCAGGATAACACAAAATTTAATTTTCTATAGTTTGGTTTGTAAGGATTAGTTATGTTTTACGAGTTGATCACGGACTGATATCAGTTAGAGAACCATTGAAAACCAGGGAGTACTGGACAGCTGCTGTTTCATCCTAGTTTGGGAATCATCGGCAGTACGCACTGGGATTCGAACCCAGGACCTTCCAGTTACAAGGCAAGCTCGTGAGAAGTTGTGACCAGTGAGGTCCAATTAGATGTCACGTGTGTGGATGGATGTCCCACCAACGACAATGTTTGGGGTCGCGCTAAAATCACGAATTGGTAGAAGTTAGAATTCATGAGCAATTGAGTAGGGTTCCAGTGGCTGAATGGTATACGAGCTTGCCCTGTAACCGGAAGGTCCTGGGTTCGAAACCCACAGTGTGGGTGCGTACTGCCGATGATTCCCAAACTAGGATGAAACAGCAGCTGCCCAGTACTCCCTGGTTTTCAATGGTTCTCTAACTGATATCAGTCCGTGATCAACTCGTAAAACAAAATTTAGTTATTAGTTTGGCTGGTTTCGTCTGCTCTAGAACGCTTGTTTCGGGTGCACATGAAAAACTCGATTAGTGTGAAGATTTATGCCTTTTTGTATCAGCAAACAATCGAAAAGTAAACCAAGAATATATAAGTGTAAACATATAAATATTCCTATTTGGAAACAAAGTAAAAAGAATTACGAAAACCTTTCGATGCAGCCTTTACGGGTCTTAGTTAAGTATCCAACAAGATGCCTGACAATAAGATTCTCATCATTACCGATGGCCTACTAATTCGGATCAAGGAACACCATACATAAATGAACCCAAAAGCTCCAGATAGTAGCAGGCGGTTTCAAAAACCTGGACAGGACTAGGGGAAGGTAACGCTAACACACTCCCAGCAGTTTCAAAGACTTCTGAAATGAAGAAATGGTTGATACCCATATACGCAGGTGCAAGCACGTGTTTTACGCGTCCATATTCGATTATGAGACGAGCACCTTATTTAATCCAATGAAATGGGAGTTGACTACGAATTAGAAAATACTTCTCTGTTTGGTAAAACCAGACAAGGCTGCAGACTGAGATAGTACAATTCGTGGGTGATATAAAAGTCCCTAATCAGAATAACATGTTTGACATATGTTTCTGATGCAACACGTAATAAACCCCCAATATTTATTAAATGATGGTCACCACACGAGATATTGATGTAACTAATACTAAATGCATACAGCCTTTTGATACTTGTCTCCAAAATGGACCCAAAGTACTAAACAGAATGAAGCCGGCACTGACCTTGACGCATTTTTAAAATATTGCACTGGTTGTAGTGGTTCAAATTTGAAAGGAAGCATCAGTTCAAAAACCGGTGGACGCTGAACTGTAATAGCCTAGCTCTTTGTATCTGCATGTATATAATTTTTGGACTTCTGTTGGTGCAATTCAGTGTCAATTATAAAGTGCTTTTTCCCAAGTCGTGTTCTGCTTCTCCGCTCTACCCTGCGTGCTTGACCTGTATAATTGCTTGTGTTGTTCTATTACAGAACATGGCGAGCCGACCCAACTCGCGCAAACTCAAGCGAGAAGTTAAGGACCTCGAATCTCCTGACAACGCGAACGCCCTTGATCCATAATATTGTAACAGCGCACCACCGGTGAGATCATCAACCCCAACAACAACGTCTACCTCCACGCCTGCTCCGGATATGATCCAAGCAATGGTCGTGGCGTTCAGAATAGCATTGATGACGCCTAATACACTTACATCGTCCTCCAGCAACAAACCGAACGTTAAATTTCCTGCACCGGAAAAGTTTGTTCCTGGGGAATCGTTCACATTGTGGGAAGAACAGTGTCGTCGCTATATACAATAATTTGATGAAGAACAAAGAGCTACTGCTATCATCTGTTAATTATCGATACCTGCATTAAAACGTCTCAAGCTAGCTGGCGTCGACACTGACAAGACGATGGAAGTGGAGGAACTATTTACAGCTATGCGTCGAGCATTTGCGCCGCATACCCATGTTCTCGGGCAGCGGGCTGCATTCCACGCATGTGTCCAGCAAAGTGGCGAAAGTACAGAGGAATTCCTCTGGCGCCTTCAAGAGTTGGCCCCTTTGGCTTTCGAAGGAGATACATCAACCGAGATCAACTCCCGTATTCTCCACCAGTTCGCAGAAGGGTTACTGCATGACGAAGTCAGAGAAAGGGTCATTGGAACTAACCCTACATCGCCCGTGGAGGCCCTATAGGTTGCCAAACAGAAGGAGGCTCTAATTAAGTTTCGTAGGAATCGGCGATTAACAGAAGGGTCCTATACTCCGCCACAATATCAGGAATCGACGCCACCTTGTGAGCATCATGCGAAACGACCTACAGAGTGGAGGTCTCGACCTTCCTCGAAAGCAAGACAAACCCCAAACTAACTACGTCCAAGGGCGGGCTGGATGAACTCTCGCTTCCCAGAAAAAGTTGGTGAGTCTGCTTTGTTTTTACCTAATGTTATGCAAGTATCAAACGAGCCATATGTAGCCCAGCGTTTGCCCACTGTTTTAGTTAAATTTTATGACAGAACCCTCGTTGGCTTGGTAGACACAGGTGCAGCTTGCACATTGCTGTCCAGCAAACATTGTAATAATATAGCCAAAACTGCCACCCCCACCTAAACATCCAAGCGGCAAATGGCTCTCGCATGAAAGTAGCTGGCGTGCTGTCACTAATGTGGGAAGGTAACCATGATCGTGTGCGGCATTCGTGTTTAGTAGTTTATGGATTGTCATGGGATTTGATACTAGGTTATGACCTCCTACGCCGCTGCAACGCTTCCATTGATATTGAGTTCCAAACGATCACCCTGCTAGGTTCAACATTACTGTTTGGATCAGACAGTAGTAATACCTATCTACAGTTGAGTGTGAATGCAGTTGATGCCACCCTGATGGAAATTATGTTAACACAGGTTCCGCGAGAACACAAAGATTCGGTGCATCGCTTAATTTCAGAGTTTTCGGAAGTCGTATCGTGGTCCCCAGCTGACCTGGGGAGAACCACAGCTATTCAACACACCATTCAAACTGGTACTTGCGCTCCAATACGACAACCACCTCGTCGAGTTCCGGTTAAGTTCCGTCCACAGCTGGAAAGCATGATTGACGAAATGCTGCAGAAAAAATAATTGCGCCATCAAACTCACCGTGGGCTTCACCTATAGTGTTAGTTAAGAAGAAAAATGGCTCCCTTCGCTTGTGCGTTGATTACAGAAAATTAAACGCAGTGACTCGCAAATATGCTTACACATTGCCTAGAACAGACGAGACATTAGAGGCATTATCAGGCGCCGTCTGGTTCTCCACCCTTGATTTAGCGTCTGGATATTGGCAGGTGGAAGTTCATCCTCGTGATCGGCAAAAGACTGCTTTTACTATACCCACCGGTTTGTATGAATTCCAGACCATGCCTTTCGGGTTAAGTAATGCACCAGCAACGTTTCAACGATTGATGCACACGGTACTTAAAGGACTAGTCCCACAAGTATGCCTCGTATATTTAGACGATATCATCGTGTTCAGTCACACCATCGAAGAACACCTCGAGAGGCTGCGGATTGTCTTGAAACGTTTGAAGGAAGTGGGACTCAAAGTGCAACCCGCCAAATGCCGTTTATTCAGAACAGAAGTCACTTTCTTGGGGCACGTTGTCAGCGCACAGGGCATTCATGGTGATCCCGAAAAGGTTGCAGCAGTCAAAGAGTGGCCGCGAATGAGTTACACAGTTTTCTAGGGTTGGCCTCTTATTACCGCCGGTTCGTGAGAAACTACTCAGAGATCGCTAGCCCTCTAACGAGTTTGACTAGAAAAAATATTCCCTTCGTCTGGACCGAAGATTGTGACCGTGCTTTTCAGCAGCTGAAAGATTCATTATGCTCGGCGCCCATTTTAGCATTCCCGGATACATCACCAACGGCTGGTAAGTATCCCTTAGATACAGACGCTAGCCACACATCCATTGGAGCCGTATTATCCCAGGTCGGTAATGATGGCAAGGAACATGTTATTGAATATGGCAGCCGCACATTGAGTCGTGCAGAGAAAAGCTACTGCATCACCCGCAAAGAAATGTTAGCCGCTGTTACCTTCGTTCGTAGATGTCTCCTTGGGAAGCCGTTTGTTCTGTGGACAGATCACAAAGCCCTTCAGTGGTTGTAAAACTTCAAGGACCCTGAAGGACAGACAGCTAGATGACAGGAATACCTCCAGGAGTATGACTTTGAATGTGTTCACCGTCCTGGCAAGCGGCATGCCAATGCTGATGCGTTATCTAGACGCTCTTTCAGACCGCACGGAGACTGCCCGTCTTGCGAGAGTATTGATATTTGTGCTATTTCGTTGGCAGGTTTAAGTAGAGAACAGTGGGCCCATATCCAAGCTACAGACAATGAAACCGCACTCCTATATCATGCCCTGTTGAATCAGACTGGTAGGCCAGTTGAAGCTGATGTGAAAGGGAAGAGTTGGGAGACCAGATGTTTGTGGGCGTTATCGGACAAGCTAGGGCTCGTGAATGGCATCATGTGCGTTCAACCAGGCCCTAACTACTTGAGAAGGGTTGTTGTTCCTCAGTCGTTCATAACTGCAATTCTGGAGAATATACACTACGACTTGGGACACGCTGGAATTAATAAGATGCTGCAAGCAGTTACCCAACGTTACTGGTGGCCCCGCCAACGGCGTGATGTTCGAGATTTTGTCCAGGGGTGTGCAACATGTGGTAAAGTAAAGAACCAACAGAGGAAACCCAGGGCGCCACTTATTAACATGAAGGCAGGTTACCCCAACGAAATAATTGGCGTGGATATCATTGGACCCTTACGGGAGACTCCACGGGGAACAAGTATATCTTGGTCGTGGTTGATTACTTTACGAAGTGGTGTGAAGCTGTTCCTCTTCAGCGTATTGATGCCTCTACAGTAGCTAAAGCTATATTTGATTGTTGGATTGCCCGTTGGGGCGCACCCGACCAATTGCATTCGGATCAAGGAACTAACTTCGAAAGTATCTTGGTTAGTGAGTTGTGCCATCTATTCAGGATTAAGAAGTCTAGAACCACAGCGTACCATCCTGAAGGCAATGGGATAGTCGAACGTACAAATCGAACCTTAAAATCATTACTACGCCGGCTGAAATTATCCCGCATGCTCAAGGTCACTGATGGAATGAGACGCTCAAAGGTCATTTTCGTCCATGTTAGTCGGTTATGTTGGATTGCAGTTCCATAGCCGTTCGTTTACACATTGGTTTTATGTTCTGTTGGCATTTAAAGGTGATTCCCATGTACTGATAGCATTCTTTTGTAAAATAGTACTGTTCTTCACACGAAAATAGCCACATTTTGACGTAGTCTTCATTGAATGACACTATGTCGAAAGCTGCAGCTTCTACAAGAAATAAACTATTTGTGTAGATGACATTACCCACCAACTACCCCATCTTCTTCATTGTAGAGATGTTTTGACGCATTCAGCATGAAACACTAATCATTACAGCCAATATGCTAAGTGTGTCGCAGTCAGATTAAACGACGCAGACACCAACATAACTAGCCAGGAAATGAGAATTCTTATCAATCCAGAAAACATACAACAAAATTTTATTAAAAACTATTGACAAAACAAATTGGCCGAGCGAAATTTCAACCAACATGCCGGATAAGTCCAGCCACTACGCCTATTCTTAGAGAGAGAATCACAATCAGCCTGGGATATGATGTTACCGAGATGCTTGTTGGCCTACCGAGGAAGCACACACATGTCTACGGGAAAGACTCCACACCTTTTATGGACCGGCCGCGAGTTACGACTGCCCAGTGATACCTTGGTCATGCCCCGATGGGATGACCCGCTAACTACGTCGGAAATGGTGATCAGGTTACGAGGGGACATAGCCAGATATCATAGCTATGCACGCGAAGAACTTCAACGGGCACAAGAGCGACAGAAACACTACTATGATTGGAAGCAGTGGGGCACACCATTCGAGATAGGGGATAAGGTGTGGCTACGTCAACCACCGACTGCCAACTTGAGTCGTCATAAAGCCGCAGCACAGCGGACAGGCCCATATGTGGTATACCGCAAAGTAACGGACAACACCTACGAAATCCAAGAAGACAACGACAACCCTCAGAGAATGATAGTGCACTTCAACCGTCTGAAACCGTCTAGACCAAACCGACAGGCACCGACGAAAATTCTACCTAACCTTGAAAACCATAATAATCATGTGTTTCTTTCTCTTGTAGGGACGATGTCGAGGCAGGGAGAGAGAAAGAA